AAGCGTTTCTTATAATTCTCAAATTCTTTAAACATACAATTGTGATAAAGTAACAAAAAGAAGCTTTTGGAGATAAATCACCTGAAAAACTATGGTTGTATTTTATTTTCTTGGCGACGTTTGGAGCAAACGCTCTTTTGGTTAATGGCAACCGACAGGATTGTTTCTGGCTTGAAAAAGAGCGTTTGGTCGAAACGTCGCCAAGAAAACAAAATACAACCATAGTTTTTCAGGTGATTTATCTCCAAAAGCTTCTTTTTGTTACTTTATCACAATTGTATGTTTAAAGAATTTGAGAATTATAAGAAACGCTTTCAGGGGATCACACTCACTGAGACTGTGGACCACAACTGAACTGAATAAGTTAACAATTACTGAAAGTCGCATTTCATACGAACAATTTTAAACCAAATTTAAATCTCTCTAAAATTGAATATAATAATTTCTAAACATAACCAGCGCCGTGAGATATGAGTCAGGTAAGCTCTATCTTATAGATGTGATTCGCAAATTCTTTAAAATAAAAATACATCGCATACGTATGTATGTATAAAAATAAGTAACGTTCACTAATAGCTTTTGATGTTATCGATTGGTAATCTAAACATATAAATAACATTAATTAATCTAAACATATATATAACGTTAATTAATCTAAACATATAAATAACGTTAATGACCATCATGGATCAATTCATAATTTAATTTTGAACATTTTAACAAGAAGAAAAAATTGTATTAAAAACAGTGAACTCTGCTTTTTTCATGCTTTCAGGTTCATGATGCCGATGCATGTCTGGTTCTGGCTAACAAATATTGTCTTGATCCTGATGCCGAAGATGCAGCAAACATCATGCGTGTGATTTCAATAAAAAACTATTCTGATGACATTAGGGTTATCATCCAGTTGATGCAGTACCACAACAAGGTAACTCATGAAATAAAACCGAAACCAACTGTCTGTTCTTATCATAATAAAATGCATTAGTTAAAGTAACTTTACAAATATCCTGTATAGACAAAATGAACCCTTTCCATTCCCGTGGTTAGCGTGCTCTTATTGTGAATCCAAGAGTTCATGATTCGCGTTCCTTTACTGCAAAATCCTTTGGGATCAGGGTGCATTATAAAAGTGGCGATCAAATCCTACTATTCGACCAGATAAGAGTAGCTCAAGAGTTGGCGTTGGGTACTTTTGACTAACTTTTTTCCTTCTAATATTTCAGTTCAAAATTAGGAATGGTTTCGTACGAAACTTCTAAACAAACAAAACATTCTGAGTCCACTATAAGTTTTAAACAAAGTCAATAAGAAAATGAAAGGGATTTTACTTGTACCGAGTTTCGACAATAATAACCTTTTCATATTCCATGCCAGTTGGATAATTTTTTTATTTATATCAATTTCAGATATACAATCAATGCGATGTTTATGAAACATATTTGTTTATTAAGTCGTTATATTTATTCTTTATTTTCTAATACTCTATTCAAACATGAGACAAAAAAGAATTGAGGGTTCTGTAGTTTGCCCAAGATAAACCTTTCTTCGGGTTTAACTTCTTCGTGGAAGACCTACATTATGAGGACTGAATATTTTGAAAGCGTTGTAGAAGCTCTTCGGAAAGATTTATTATTTTGTAAATTATTATTTTTTTTGCGCCCATCCCTTTAGTGGCACAACGGTATGTCTGCGGACTTACAACGTTAGAAACCGGGTTTCGATACCCGTGGTGGCCAGAGTACGGATAGCCCATTGTATAGCTTTGTGCTTAATTACAAACAAAACTTATTTTTGCATCGTCATATAATGTTCAGCTTGTTTTATTTTATTCAGTTAGGTGTTTTATCAAGATGTGCCACTTAATGGTATGAGAATGACCAACATCTATAGTCTTGTGTGCATTAAACTCAAAGTCGTAGCCAGCACTACAGAGTGGATGGGGGGTTCGAAAAGATATGTAGACCTTGTCTTGCACCCAACTAATTTAATTAAGTTATTTGCACACAAAAGTCAACTGTTGATTTGAAAAAAATCAAAAGATAGGGGACCTCTTACACACTTTTTAAAATACTTGGGTGGTTATTCAGCCCACCCCTCACCTCCCCACCACCACCACCGGCTACGTCTCCTGCTGAACCGCATCATTATCCATAGCATCGATCAATCAAATTATTTTATCATGTTTTTTTCTGCATTTTTAGCCGTTATTTCTGAACCTTCGATCAATAAGAATGCAATAATAACCAATATGTATCACTATATCTAAAGTATTTAGCCTAACATGTTAATGGAAACTTCCCAAACAATAAACTACTCCTGTATTATTCAATTTATATTTATTTCTATCTGTTCGTTTGTATGTTTTAAAATGTGTTTAGGATTTTTTTTCGATATCATAATGTTCCTTTCGTGAAGGTAACCAAATGTTGTTTATTTTAGTTACTTTAATCATATTTTTGGTCCAAGCATAATTACTTTATTAAAATAAAAAGGGAAAGGATATTTAACACAATTTCTGGTTGTGACTAAAAGTTAATCTCCAGAATTATATCATTGAATGCTTATAATGGTACTTTATTCTCTAATATATATATATGATGACTGATATTACACTTTATTCCTCTAATGACGTTTTATATCTTTAATTTATAATTACTAGGCTTACCTCTTGAACATTCCCAGTTGGAACTGGAAGCGTGGTGATGACGTCATCTGCGTTTCGGAGTTGAAATTAGGCTTCATTGCACAAAGTTGTTTGGCTCCGGGCTTTTCGACGATGATGGCAAATTTATTTGCTATGCGCTCTTACAAAACGGTGGGCTTATATTAAGCTCTTAGCTTCTTTTAGTTTAAAAGAGAAAATATATATATATATATATATCATCAGCTTCATAAATCCTACTGATAAACTGTATGAGAGATAATATTAAAAAATATGTTTCATATTTTATTGATTAAAGCCATGTATATATATATATATATAGAGAGAGAGAGAGAGAGAGAGAGAGAGTGTTTTTATACTGTAAGAACACGTTAGTCAATATTAAGATTATGTCCAAATATACCATGACAAGCAACGATCAATTAGTTAATGTAATCTGTTCAGTTTTATATCCTGTAATTGCTTCACGTATTCGAAAAATCCGTTTTATCATCGTTATCAACTGTAATTTCAACTCTTTGAATAAACTTTGATAATTAAAGTAACATTAATCTAAACCACTACATCTTTATTACTGAAGAATAAGACCTAAGGATATTTAATTATGTTTTAAATATTTCTCAATTCATCATTGCATTAATTGGTAAGTAATTAAAGGTTTAAGTATGCCATTTTTATGCATTTATTATTAAACCGTATTCATCTATGTATAAATATAATGTGTATTATCGTATTTTGTTCCTAACTTCAAATGATTACTAAGTTTGTTCTAGTTCTGAAATATTTCTTGATAAGATATCCTACAAACTATAGGAGACTTTATAGTGCGGTAAGATGCTTTAATGTGAATAAAACAATTTTGTGATTCGTTTCATTTAGTGGAAGATAAACAAAAGTAAATAACATTAAAATGCAAGTTATTGTTCAGTTATGTAGTTAATAATGTTACATAAAATGTGGATTCCCAACCTTTATTTGTTAAATTAAACATCATTTTGGTAATAGATGTATCTGTGACGGTTTCTAATAAATTTTCATTTACGCTTAAACATGGAAACAATCATGGTTTCTGTCAATGTATTTACTCTTCTCAGATTTCTGTAAAATGACCACTGACGGTTCTTGAACGCACGTTTAATATAAATATCGTGCAGATAACCATCTTTGGAATGCGGTCATCTTATTCTTGAAGTAGTCACACATTGTTGAGAGTCATTCCCCTTTTTTTCTTTTTTATGTTTCTGAATTCTCCAAAGTAAGGTGTCGCTGGAGAAGTATTTAGATTTGTACGAATGTGTTCTTTAGTAAAACTGATATTGTAGAAATTTAGGAATATCTGAAAACAATATTCTCCCTCTTTGTAGTTATGGAATAATCAAGTGACGTGTGTGACAATGAAAAATTGGGGAAGTTGACCCTGTTGTGTTAAGTGTATAGTAATTAACTCTGTCGATCTTAGAAAGAACTTCTTCAGATCTCCTTTTCATGATAGCTTGTTTGTTTGTTTGTAATTAAGCACAAAGCTACACAATGGGCTATCTGTGCTCTGCTCACCACGAGTATCGAAACCCGGTTTCTAGCGTTGTAAGTCTGCAGACATACCGCTGTGCCACTGGGAGCATTTTCATGATAGAGTTCAAAATAGTGATACAGAAGTGTTGCCTTTCGTGTTATAAATAGTTGTATATTTGTCTTGTTTAATAGAAATAAATAAATTCCTGTTCGCCATATTGTTCTTCATTGTGTTCATTCTTTTTTCATCCAGAACAAAAACTCAGTTTAATTCCGCAATACGTAATCTGTTAGACATCTAGTTTGAGTGATCACTATATTTATCTGACTACATATTCCTGACAAAGCGGGTAATTTTTCGAACGAGATCTTGCTGATTTAGGTATCAAAAATATAATTTAACATTTAAGTATTATTAAGCTTTTCAGTGACACATAATTCCATGTTTTTATACCAAAAGTTGATTGATGATGTTAACATCCTTAAAACGTTGATTTTTATTTATGTCTGCTTAATTTATAGTTACTGTTCTGTATTTAGTCTCTTTATAAAAAATTATTTAGTATTACGGCAGGTGTGATATGGTAACTTACTGACGATGAAAATGATGTAGTATTATCACAGGCGGGATATGGTAACTTACTGACGATGAAAATGATGTAGTATTATCATAGGCGGGATATGGTAAGTTACTGATGATGAAAATGATGTAGTATTATCACAGGCGGGATATGGTAAGTTACTAATTATGAAAATGATGTAGTATTATCACAGGCGGGATATGGTAAGTTACTGATGATGAAAATGATTCAGTATTATCACAGGCGGGATATGGTAACTTACGAATTATGAAAATGATGTAGTATTATCACAGGCGGGATATGGTAACTTGCTGACGATAATAATGATGTATTATTATCACAGACGGGATATGATAACTTACTGACGATGAAAATGTTGTAGTATTATCACAGGCGGGATATGGTAACTTACTGACGATGAAAATGATGTATTATTATCACAGACGGGATATGATAACTTACTGACGATGAAAATGATGTAGTATTATCACAGGTAAGTTACTAATTATGAAAATGATGTAGTATTATCACAGACGGGATATGGTAACTTACTGACGATGAAAATGTTACTTTCAATAGTCTCCAGACATGGCTTCTTGGCAGAACGACTACATGTGTGGAACAGGCATGGAAATGTACACTGAGAATCTTTCGTCATCTTTCTCTGGTATGAGTTTCCCTCAAGCTGCTGAGTGAGTAGTTTTAACTTTTATGAAACATTTAACTGTTTTAACAACAAAATAGACCTTTCAATAAGATGTTAAAATATTTCTAATACTCGTATTCGCGTTCTCAAACACAATTCTTATGCCATTGGTAATAACCTTCATGCTGGACCTTTCTTGTTCAGCTCTGAATTTAATCTGTAATTAATCAACAACGTTTCTTCTACATGTAAACAGTTCTCGTAGCGTCCTCTAGCGAGTATGAAACATACTGTGATATAAAACAATATCAATTTGCCTAAAACATGATCACGCATACTTGATTTATGATTATATGTCACAAAATTTGTATGTTTCTGTATTCATGTTTCTAACCACCTATATAGTGGTCAAACCAATATACTTATCATTACATCTAGAACATTTAAATTAGTATATCATATTTAATTGCGTTGTTCCAATCCGATTGGATAATCTGTCGAGATCATTTACTGGCAATGATAATGTCATGTTTGGGTTAAAATATAATAAATGGATCTTACCTACCATAATAATGCCGCGTTGTTTGGCCGAAATATTTGCATAAAGAGATAGTCAGTCGTATAATGATGTTATTCTATCTGCCAAAATATTGCGTATTTTTTTCGTCGCATACCATCTATGGTGCTTAGAGTTTGATTTTTTTACATTTTATCTCTAAAAACACGTTGATTTGAAGTATTTCGGCTTTTTTATTAAAAAAACAGTAAGGATATAAGAACAACGTACTTTCTGTTTATAAACACTATTCAGTAGAGAGAATCGTAGATATAAGGATGTTATCAGTGGCGTATATTTTAAATATATCTTATTTATAATGGGCATAGCGTGTATGTCAGTATCTATGTATGTAACCAAAACTCCTGCGTCATCTACTGAATGGCACCACAAACAAAAATCCATAAAAAATTCACACTTTGTATATTCAAGATTCAGACAATAAGTTAAATAACTGTGGTATGTGCAACAATCATTTCTTTATAATAATACACAATTTTAAATAAAAGTACACTCCACAAAACATGAATACGACTTTCACTAGGACTATACGTGAGGGTTTTCTTGATGTAATTTTTAAATGTAGTACTAAGAAACTGGAGTTATTAAAGACTGCTATTTTTTCAACACACGGTACCACTTTTAATACATAAAATACATTACAGTTTATATCAGTAAAATTTATGAACATTTTGATGCAATGTGTTGTGTATGACTAAAGATCACAATCCGAACACTTTTCCAGTGCAGTACTTCCCAGCAAAGAATCCTTTTTTAGAAACTGTTCACTTT